CCCCGCGGGGAGCCCGGCCTCGAGGGGGCGCTGCGGACCCCGGCCCGGGCCCCAGCGCCTCAGGGGTCCCGCCGCGCTCCCCGTCAGCGACGCGCACGGCCTGCGGGACGGGGCCGCGCGGCTGCGCCCCAGCGCTTGCAGCGTGCGGTGCGCCCGGAGCCCGCGCGTGTCCCGAGGCCACACGGACCGCGACGCCCGAGCACGCGGCCCCGGGCTTGGTGGCGTCCACGCCGCGGCGCACCGCGGGACGGGCAATTAGTTGACAGGTCCCCAGATCCCTTCATCTTGAGGGATTACACGTAAATAACGCCTGTGCGGAGCACGCGACGTGACGGCCGCCACAGCGGCTCTCGGCGCCGAGGGTGGGCGCTGCTGGGGGCCGCACTGGAGGGGCTGGAAGTGAGTCACCCCGGCACGGAAGAGCACAGGGGCCCCGGAGGCGGCGGAGCGGGGCGCGCGGGCCTCGGGGGGACACGCGGGCCTGGGGCCGCCTGCCCGGGGCGCGCTGCAGCTCCCACCGCACCGCCCGGTGGAGGGCAGCGGCTCCGGCGCTCGGGCCTCCCGCCCCGCGTGTCCCCCCCACCCGCGTGTCCACCTCCATCCCGCGTGTCCACCTCCACCCCGCGTGTCCACCTCCATCCCGCGTGTCCCCCCGCCCCGCGTGTCCCCCCGCCCCGCGCTGGCCACGTCCTGTCCCGGCGTCTGGGCGGGAAAGCCGTCCTTGGCCACCTAGAGCCTCCTCCATCTCCCCGTCTGCGCCTGTGCGAGGACAAAACTTGGCCTAAAGGCGGCGAAATGTGCAGGAGCACCAAAACAAGCAAGTCTCCTCTCCTGGGGAAACCGTACGGATTTACCACAGATGTTCTCAATCTAATTATCCTGTCGGTCCCCTGGGTTTGAACTTTAAAAACTGAAATATATATGACCTGTGTAATAGCGGGGACCACATCTGGTTGGAATTCAGAGTTCTGAGTCCATGGCAATATTTTAGATTCAAGTTTGACGGGTATTAAATACAATTGTTCCGTTTCTGGTTATGTTTATACTTCTGCATTTAACCTGGCTTACATTGGGTGGCCCAGAGCTTAAGCTTTATTCAAATTTCAATTTCTCCTCACAGGAGTTTTGGGGTTATACAAACTTTATTGTCCTCAGCCAGGAAGAGGGGAATATAACTTCTCCAGTGGAATAAAATGTTCTCGTTTCAAAAGATAATTCACTAATCAAACGTTATCTGGGGTGGATGAAATAATAATGTGAGAACGTGTGACAAGGTTTTGAAGAACGCGTTTAACTACTTGACGTAGAACAAGCCTTGACGTAGAAGAGCAGCTAAGAGATGGCGTGCTGGCACAGTGGGTAAGGGCTGCTGTGCAAGCCTGAGAGCTGAAAATCCAGAACCCATCCCTGCCAGGAGGGAGAGAACAGGCTCCGCAAAACTGTCCTCTGACCTCCACGAGCCGTGGTGCGCCGCACCGCAATTAATAAGTGAAATGTAATAAAGAACAAATTATAAAAGTCTCCACGCTTACTTACAAAACACAGATGATAGCCTGGACAACCGCTGCGTCTGAATGTAGTGGACTTACAAAGTTACAAACTGCTTAAAATATTCCAAAAATCCTCTGTCTCCATAGACACCCACAAGAGGCTACACAGTGAGTGATCAGATACTTCCAGAACCCAGTGTAAGAAAGGGCGGCTCTGACCCAGGACAAAGAAAAAAAAAACTTGACATATAATTGATATGACTCTGAATGAAGCATAGAAAAACAATCCAGAGGCTTTCGGTCTTTTTTTTTTTTTTTTTTTTTTTTTTTTTTATGTTTAGCTTCTCCCTTTAGGGGAAGAGAGCTCATGGTTAGTTCCCAATGCATGGCTAATTGCCACCCCAAGCTTTCCAAATCAAGCTCCCATCATCAAATTCGAGAACTGATCAAAATGATATCCGTTCCTGGCACCTTTACACAGCTTAGCACCAGAGAGGGCAGCCTCAGACGTAACACTGGAGCCCAGGTCCCTCAGTGTCTTCTGTGACTGTTGGATCATTCCCCAGAACAACAAAATAAAATAGGGTTAGCCGACATGGCGGTGCACAGCTGCCGTCCCGGCAGGAGGGAAAGGCAGGAGGGTGAGGAGGTTCGTATACAGAAATTCCAGGCCAGCCTTGCTGTCTGAGATCCTGTCTCGAAAGAGCTACAACACCCGAAGATGATAGGAGGAAAGAATGATGGCAAGTCTCCGCTGGGGTTGCAATAGCACTAAGAAATGTTAGAGAAAACTGTAACGGATCTTGAGGACTTTACACTTCCCTAATCTCCCATTTAGACTCTTCTCTTGGTGGCCTCCATATTTAGTTTATAAAGCCCGTTAAGGTGACTTCCTAAAACTACCAGGGTAACACCTATGAAACCTGATCCTCCCTAGGTAAATCTCAAGAAATGCAAATGCATGGCACTGGTCTCTGTTCTTATAGACTAAATTTAGTCCCTTGAAAGAATCAGCCATCAGGAAGGGCTTCCAAGCTTGGCTTGGTGGTGCCTGCCTGGGTGGGAGCGGCTGAGCCACAGGACAGGGCAGGAATGTCACAAATGTAAGGACATCTTGAGCTACACAGTGAGGTCTAGACTAGCCAGAGCCACCAAGTAAGACCCTGTCTAAAAGAAACATTTTCTTCTAAGCTGAAAACTGTCCCAGACTGAAGGACCTTATTTAAAACGCAACTAAGCAAGATAGACCTCCTACAGAATCGTAACTTCTCAGGGGAAAAAAGTCCTTATGCTCTGATTTCTTATTTGTTTCCCTGGAAATTTGCTGTCCAGGAAACACCAAAGAATAATCTGGATTTTTTACCAGACTGAAATTATAATAATAATTCCAAAATATTCTAAACCATATGTTTCAAAGGAAAAATATGAAGATATTAATTCTAAAGCCTTAATTCCTTTTCTTAGTATTTTTACATCTAAATTAGACCTGTCCCCTGAGAGGGGAGCAGCGTTACCAGGCCACAGAGGAGGACAATGCAGCCAGTCCGGATGAGAGACCTGGTAGCCTAGAGTCAGAGGGAAGGAGAGGAGGACCTCCCTTCTCAGTGGACTGGGGGAGGGGCATGGGAGGAGATGAGGGAGGGAAGGTGGGATTGGGAGAGCATGAGGGCCACAGCTGGGATACAAAGGGAATAAACTGTAATTAATTACAAAAATAAATAAATTAGAACTGGTTTCAAGCAGTTTCCAACAAGAAACATCTCAAAACCTCGGAGATCGCTCAGTGGGTTAGGACACTTGCCCTAAAAGCTGGACAACCTGAGCTTGGTCTCCAAACCCAGAAGGTGGAAAGAGCAACCCATTACCAAAAACTGCCCTTCTGCCTTCACATGGGTGCCATGGCACATATGTACATTGATAATAAAGAAATGAAACCTTTTCATGCAGCCAGAAACAATGCACAACTGTAAAAACTACTCCACAGGGGCTGGAGAGATGGCCCAGTGGTTAGAGCACTTAATGCTCTTGCAGAGGACCTGGGTTCAGTTCCCAGCACCCGTACCTGGCAGCTGTTGCTCCCAGGCCTGGGGTCCGATGCCTCTAGCCTCTGCGGGCAGGCACCTGCACTTTTATTCACATACCCTACATAGACACACACACGTGCATGATTAAACTTAAACCACACATAATGTGTTCACAGTCACAAAGATATGGCTGTAGATGATAGGAAAATTATTCCTATCCTAGCAAATCATACGGAAAAATTTGAATTATACAACATGGAAGTTCAGTGGCACAATCCAGCACTCAGGAGTCCAAGCCTGGTCTACAGAGCAAGACCAGGACAGCCAGAGCCACTCAGAGAAACCCTATCTCAGAAACCAAAACAGACAAACAAACAAAAAATAGAGAAGTTTGAAATTATCTCAAGGTATTCATTCAAAGAATTTATTTATGTCTTCAAATTACAAATATCTATGACCAGACAGAAGTTTTGAAACACTTCAAATTTGTAAAGGCCTTCTCTTTAAACCAAAAGATTATGAATAATAGAGGGGGGTGTGTGTGTGTGTGTGTGTGTGTGTGTGTGTGTGGACTGCCTTCCAGAACAATTTGGCACCAAGTGCTAAAAGAAATGAGAGAAGATTCCAGATCTTTTTTTTTCAGTTCAGGAAACCCAAACTACTTTTAATTGTTTTGTTTTTAAATGAATGCTTTATGTTAATTATTCCTCAGCACACTATTCATGGCACAGTATAAGTGCCCACAAATAAAAGTGCACATTTCGCCACATGTAATTACACGCACGGTACCTCATTCATC